GTTTAATTCCCCATCCCCTCACTCGTTAGGTGGTCAGTGATGTCAGTTCTCTGGTGGATGCGGGGTGATTTTGTTTTTTTTGCCTGTGTGTGTTTTTCGTTTTCTGTTGTCGTGTTTGGATGAGTGCGTGTCTGTGTGAGTGCTAGGGATAAATGAATTTTTTTTTTATATTTTATAGGCCCGTATTAATTTCGCCCAGTGAACTGATGTTTCTGCCACATTTAAGTATTGTTGGGGGTGGGGGTTATTACTAACAATGATTTTGTTTAGTTTATTGTAAATAGATTAATTCATATTGTATATAGGGGATCATTTAATTTGTTGTTTTATTCCCCACCCCACATACGACGATTTGTATATATGGGAAGTATTTAGGATTTTCATTGAGACAATGAGGTATTATGGTGGATGTAGTAAGAAAGGCTAGTAAGAATGTGTTGTTTTGGTGTTAGAAATGTTGTTTGTATGCTTGGGTCAGTGCTTGTGGCTAGCTAAGTTTAAATTAAGACAAATGAAGACCGTCCTTTTCCCCATCCCCTTTTTTAGGCCTTGTGCCACATTTTCTGTAATTTTGCAGAAATAAATATTGTAATATACTGTTTAACTAATCTACCACGAACAGTGGTTTACGTACTTCACTGACGAGTATTGTATTTTGTTGATGTTATAAAGATTAGCATTTCATTTCCAACCTCCATTTTGGTTATTCCCCATTCAATAACCCTTTCTAGCTTACAACATAATCAATATTTTTAGATCCAGTCTGCTGTCTGGTAATGTCAAAATGACAGCAATTTTTTTCATTTGTAAATTGCATCTGTAATCTTTTTACAGTTACAGTTAGATATATTAAGTGGTAAACTTTTTCATTAACCCTAAAATGACATGAATTCTTAAAGGTTATTTATTTGTTACTGCTTGGTACGCTAAATAATCAATGAATTTTTAAAATCATTTTTCCCAAAACAAGGCGGTAACGCCACTAAGACACAGATTTGGGGTTCTACTAAGACTGAAAGAGTTGAAGAAAAAAAAAGTTTATTTTATTTTTCTTACTAATAGATAAGAAGATTTACTTGATCCCCGGACTGAGTCAGGTTGTGACACAAGGTCATTTTTTAACGTGGGGACCCGAGTGTTTTCACTCGGGCCGCTGGTCCAAGCTGGTCTTAGCTGGTCGTAGCTTGTCCAAGCTGGTCAGAGCTGGTCTCAGATAGTCATAGCTGGTCTTGGCTTGTCCTAGCTGGTTCAAGCTGGTCAGAGCTGGTCTCAGATAGTCATAGCTTGTCTTGGCTTGTCATAGCTGGTTCAAGCTGGTCAGAGCTGGTCTCAGATAGTCATAGCTGGTCTTGGCTTGTCATAGCTGGTTCAAGCTGGTCAGAGCCAGTCCAAGCCAGTTGTAGCCTTGATGCCACCACCTCAGGGACGGATCCCTGGGCTACATAAGTTTAGGAATCTTAATATAATTTTCCTTTATATATATAATTCTTCCTTTAGATAACCTTCTCAGTTTTTATCCATCTTTTACAATCGAAACATCCGCTAGAGAAGAAAGGACACTGATTTACATCCCTTGATTTTGTTTTCTGATGGTTTTAGATTTGTTTTTCTATTTTTAATATTTGAATATGGTGTATATCACTGCAGAAATTCCAATTCTCAGCCGTTCCGAAATGAAATTGCTACTGCCACCCAAAACTAGAAAGCCGGGTATGTCCTACTATTCAACCTATAAGTAGGTATAGTGGAGAAGAAGATTTGGATTTATGTCTTACCCAAGCGCGTTAGTGGGGAAGTGAGCGCAATGGACTAGGACGGAATTTGAACTCGGTTCGCATTCTACCCTGGTAACCCTTACGCTATCTGCACATCTGGGAACAAACCACCTGCCGTGAAAATCAACATTTGAAATTCTAGCCTTGGTTCAAAATTATCCATTCCACGCTACTTTAATCAAAAAGATTAAGTAGGACGCCCTCCATTGGTATTTGAAAGAACGATAACAGCTACTGGACTTGATAAATCCGTTTTCTTGAAAAGTCGTTTTAAGAGTCGGATTTAAAAAAATTTCAACCGAAAGTAGCAGTGATTGCTCGGTCAGTGAACGCTGAATGTTTCCTGGATAACATAAAATAAATAATAGAGTACTAGTATTTCTTTGTAATTTAGCGAGATGAATAAGTTTGGCTTTTTTTCAACAGGTAAATCGATTCTTGGAACCGTTTCAGAGAGACACATACGTATATATTATTTTCCGTTGTGAGTCTTGCACGAAATTTACTTTTGATCAGACACACTGCTGAAAATCTCCGTTCGCAACGGTAAATGGATGAAAACAGGAATGGATTGCCTTTGTTTCAGTTTTGCTATGCGACCTAAAAGGCGCGAAGGCAGCTGCAAGAATTAGAAAGGTCAAAATGCCTCGCGTAACCTTTCCAAAACAGAAACCATGGCCTGAAATTGGAATGAAAGCAGTGATGGCTTGCGCTCTTTCATTCTTTTTTTTGTTTTTTGTTTTTTTAAGTGTTTCACCCCAAGCAAGGCGGGAAGCCTCTAGGACGCAAGGGGTTACAGAAGATTTGGGTCAAGATCAGATAGGAGTGATAGAGGAAAAGATGAGGAGAAGGATAGTGGATAGATTAAGGCAACTGGAGATGTCGATTGACATTACATTTGAATAGCTGGAGATTACAGCTCTCAGGGAAACTGGAATAGGAAAGGGAGTTCCACAGGCGAGAGGTGCAAGATATGAAGCTATTGGAGTAGAAGAGACGGCTACATTTAATAGTTTCTACAGTGAAAGGGTGAGAGCGGGATGCCAGCCTCGTAGGGCGCTTGACCTCATGAAGTCTGGGAACCAGCGAATGCATCTCCTCAGAGCAAATGCCATGAAAGTATCTGCAAAAAAGACAGAGAGAGGCGACGGCGCGTCTGTGAGAGAGCGACTGTAGACGAGATGCCAGAACAGGGCCAATTATATTGCATATCCGCCTCTGGAGCCTATTACTTGATCCATAATAAATAATTGGGCGTATAGAATTAGTAAATACTAATCATTTGAAATACCTCAGTGTATAGATCAGTTATAAAAAACATTGTATCGAAGATAAGGAAATTAAATAGGAATAGACAGTGCTAGGAATAGTTTCACACAACACCGCAAGTTTTGCCAATGTCAAAACATTAACCTTATAACTCCAGTCATATTCTTAACTAGCCTCGTCAAATTGAGATTTGCATATGAACTCCATGCATGGCGCCAAACCTGTTCAGAAATATCTAAACCAGTCATAGGCAAACTGCGGCCCCATTGGCATTCTAAATGGCGCACCTAATTTCATGAGGAAAATAACGTTTATTAAAATGTTGTTTGTTTCCTTTCGTTATCATACGTTCACTCACACACACTCTCATGTATAGCGACAAACGTGAATAATAGGTGGTCCGAAAGTCTTGTCACCCATACATAATATAATTTTCTTTTTCTTAAAGCTGTTAACATTTTGGGAGAGAGGTAAAGGTGACAAGACTTTCGGACCATTGTGTACAATATTTCTTGAATTTTGTAACATTTCGTTGACGGTAACATTGTCTGCATTTTAAACCATTGGCGATTTTCTCTAAGGAAGATCATAAGTGTAAGCATCTTTTGCTTCAGAAACAGGAAACGTTAATGATAATTATTTTTCTCTAGAGTATAAATATACTTTAAAAATGTTTTTGCATCTTCAAATGAATAAATTAGAAAGAAATCCCACGCAGCAGCATGTGTTAATCATTCTGTCGTCAGTGAAGAATTCGTTTTTTTTTTAAATTATAGAAGGAATCTTTTCAAATGGAAATCATCGACTTTTTTCCCAATTCTAAGGCAGATGCTTATACGTATGCTCTTTTGTTGCGAAAATGTCTGCGGTATCTTCAATGAAAAATTTCCTTGATTTTTTTTTTTTTTTTAGTAATGTGGCCCACCTTATGATGAACTGTGGCACATAGGGGCCCATTTTTCGAAAAAAATTGCCCATGCCTTAGTTAGTTGTATATAACCACTTTCCCGGATCAATTGTTATAAATGCCATCGAGCGAATGAACCCTGTAGGTCATAGAGAGGACAATTATTCTTCGAAACTCGCGAACAGGCGCTACAGAATCACAAAAAAGAACTTGTGGAAAAATTGACAGTTCGGTTGTGAGGAGTAAGGTACTTACGTGGGTTGTTGTTCTGGACATTAAAGTTGTTACTTTCCTTTTCACCAATTTTTTATACTTACAAGGTCTCGGGATTTGTTATCACGTGATCACGTTATATAAAGGAAATGTTTTTTCTTCTTTTTTTACCCTTTGTTATACCACAAGTTATCCGTCGGAGAAGCTACGTCGCGGAAGTGCATATTTTTTTTTTTTGCAACTTAAGGTAAGTACCTTTGCTCATTTCCCTGGCCTACACCGTCACGGTTTTTTTTTGTCTTGCGTTGAGATTTTCTCGACAAACTGTACCAAATAACAGAAACCACATCACTTGAGGACGTTTAACACCAGCAAGGAGTAAAATATATAGCACATATGACTCGAAGAGAAAATAATGACATAATCACAATGTCGACGTTCCACACCACTTCGAACAAAAGGTTAGGAAGGAAACACCTTTTGGAAAGAGCTATAACGGTGAACTTGAGAAACATATTTGCCTGAAAAATTGTTTTAAGAGAAAGAGTTTTAACAAATTTAAACCGAAATTAGCATTGGCTGCTCGCCCAATAAACGCCGAATGTTTCCTTATAAGGAAACGGTTAATACTGCTACTACCATTATCATAGCCAAGAACCCGTAGTGAAGCCAGCCAACGCGTGGCTATGATATTTTGGCCAACTAGTTGACACTCTATCTCTTTCCCGATTCCTCCTGGAAACGATGCTACAACTGCTGTTTCTCTTGAAATAAATCAGTAAAAATAAAATTGTCTGCCGTTGATGCAGTCTATGATGTGGCGTTGCGATCTGAAGAACTGCAGCCAGAGACGATACGAAATGCAACAGTATCTATCTATCTATCTATCTATCTATCTATCTATCTATCTATCTATCTATCTATCTATCTATCTATCTATCTATCTCAGTCTGTTCCTATCTATCTATCTATCTATCTATCTATCTATCTATCTATCTATTTCCGTCTGTTCTTCTCTCTATATCTATCTATTTATCTATTTCAGTCTCTTCTCATCTATCTATCTATCTATCTATCTATCTATCTATCTATCTATCTATCTATCTATCTCAGTCTGTTCTTATCTATCTATTTCAGTCCCTTCTCTTCTATCTATCTATCTATCTATCTATCTATCTATCTAGCTATCTATCTATCTATCCCAGTCTGTTCTTATCTATCTATCTATCTATCTATCTATCTATCTATCTATCTATCTCAGTCTGTTCTTATCTATCTATCTATCTATCTATCTATTTCAGTCTGTTATTCTCTCTCTATCTATCTATCTATCTATCTATCTATCTATCTATCTATCTATCTATCTGTCGTTGATGCAGTTTATGGTGTAAGGTTTGGGGTCTGGAGAACTAGAGCCAAAGACGGCACGAAACACAACAGATTTCGAATGTGTTGATAGGTGGAATGTAGAAATCAAATTATCTCTTTATATCTTGAAAAAGGGTCAAAAGGTTCACCCGTTTTTAATCAGAAAAGAGGGCGAAATGTCGAAAGCTCCAGAGACTTGATCATGTACACACATTTCTCTCTCGTACACCCCAGAGGCTACGTGTAGTCTGGTTTGAGAAGCCCTGCTCTAAATGAAGCAGATATCAGAGAGCATCAAGACAGTATGAATACACAACTTTTGAATCCAAATATAAAAGAACGGCCATTGCGTTTGCAGAGAGGCGCGCATGCGCACGTACACACGTTTCTTTTTGTTTCAAGCAATTTAAGTTGTTTTAATCAAGTGTGTTGAGAGCAAGTCACGAAATGTAAATTTAACGGCGTCATGCTTTTTTATCTTTTATCTTCTTTTTAGATGACCTCTGTATAAATATTTGCTTGAATGACGTAATTTCAAGCTCACCAGTTTCGAGGCTCATACTTGCTCTGGCCTCATCTCTTTGCGTGGATGCTGATCTTTTCTCTTGGGAGACGTCGAAAAAGAATCATCAAAATACATTGAGAAAAGATTTTTTTTAAATTTCTTTGTTAAATAATTATTATAAAAAATAATTTCATCAGAAAATCTAAAAATACGAATTTTCTTATTACGCTCAGAAATTCATGAGCCATCACTTCTGTCTTCTTCACCATTTCCAACTAAAATTACCCAGGAGCCATCGAATACAAATTAACATCCGTTTTGAATACATTTAGCATGGATGGCCAAGATGCCGAGAGTACATTTATAATTAAGAAGTCAGGACTGCTGACAACTTAAATATTAAGAGGAGGGATTGGTATTTACTAGACTAGTCTGGAATAAGTCGATAAAACAAGGATTAGAAAACCATTGAGAAACAAGCTTACCGTCCACTCCTCGAAGACATGCGCGGCAGGTATAAACACCCCTTGGTCTGACACAATCTAGAATAATAGTTCTCTATTATACAATATTTCTTACAAGCAAGTTTCCTCGTTATTTCACACACACACACACACACACACACACACACACACACACACACACACATGTATGTATACCGCTTTTTAAAAATAAAAATAAATGCTGAATTATAAAACTCATGGTTCTTTACTATTATTTTAATATATATATATTAATATTATATTTTAATATATATATATATATTTGGTTGGATAGATGTGAGTTTGTGACCCTGGGTTTCACGCTTTAGCGATCGTCAGACAAACGAGACATTAACGAGACATTTCCGCCACACTTCCAATGTTTAAATTTCAACATTTCAACATACAAATGCGTATGTATAGATATAACACCACCCGTATACATACATGTGTCGTAGCCGAAACTGCCACATATGTTTATATATGTATGAGTCCCGACGGACGACCAAGTATGTATATGTGTCTGCATACATCGATGTTTGCGTTAGTACGATGAATGACAAAACGACGAAGTTTCCCCCAGCAATTCCACAATAACACCAATACACGCAATCTACATAAACCCCAATTTTTTAAAACATTAATCAGTTTGTCTGACGATCGCTAAAGCGTGAAACCCAGGGTCACAAACACACATCTATCCAACCAAATATGTTAACTCTATCTCTGATATTGAGCGCTTTCTAATAAGTACCGCGCATATAATATATAAATAATTATACATATATATATTTATTTATATTTATATACACTTTTCACACATATATATATATATATATATATATATATATATATATATATATATAATTTTTTCTCCTAATATATATATGTATATATACCAGGAGAAAAAAATTCCTGCTTGTTAGTAGAACTACAGGAGTGTGTATATATATATATATATACTAGCAGTAGAGCCCGGCATTGCCCGGGGATGTAACAGTAAGAGATAGATCAAGTATCCGCCATCATAAGGACTGAAAAGTAAAATTGACAAAGATTATTGTTTAAGGTTGACGGACATGCATGTCTTAATTAGGTTTTTTTTTTTTACGAATTGGTCAAACCCAAACTCAAACAAAAACATTGTTTTCAGTTGTTATGAGTCTACCGATTGAATAGAATTTTATTATAAACAATTGTCTTGTAAATGGAATTTTTAAAGCATTCTGAATGTAAAAATAAAGAAAAAAGGGTGCAAGACAATAAGAAACACTACCCTGCCAAAAAAAGTGAAGTTTTGTTGAAATCGGTTGAAAAATGTAGGAAATCTGATCCCATATATAAACGAACACACAAAAACAACCTGGGTTTTACAATAAGTATAACTCGATATGAGTTATCCCACTTTCATTCTCGCGACAGCGATGCCTCTTAATCGTGTTTTCAAATTGATTTCGTGCAAAAACAATTGTGTTTTTTCCAATATTTGGCACTGTTAGAACCACCGCAAGGTAATTTTACGTAGTCCTGTGAAGTTTTGTTGAAATCGGTTGAAAAATGTAGGAAATCCGATCCAATATATAAACGTACAGACACACACACACACACACACACACAATCTGCGTTTAATAATAAATAATAATATCCGTTATATATATATATATATATATATATATATATATATCCTTGGCCACTCGTATTCGAGGATACCCATCTACTAGGGTGGCTGGCCAATCCCGGTTTAACACCCATAGAGCCCGCCTGTTGTTTGCACTGGAATTATGCTGAGCTGACCTTAGTTACAGTTTCTGAGAATTTGAACAAGGCCAGCACGCTCAGGCCCTCGGCTATCACCTGTCGATGACCACCTCAAGTGTTCCGTCTACCCAAATTCAATCACAAGGCTTGGTTCAACCCGTGGTATAGTCTTCAGGCACTTTCCATAGGTGTCGCACGCTGGGATCGACCCCACCAGTCCGCTAACATCAGGAAAATCGTTATATATATATATATATATATATATATATATATATATATATATATATAACGGATTTATTTTTTAACTCATGTTTATTACTTCAAATTAAGTGTCATCTATAATAACGAAATTGAAGTACTACTACGCATATATATATATATATATATATATATATATATATATATATATATATATATATATATATATATATATATATGTTGTGGTAGGATCCACCTAATTTGCATAGTGGAGTACCGACCATATAAATATGGTTGGTACCAGGAAGACGAGGAGGGGAATCAAGAGGTTCAATCCAGAGACTCTGCCCGACTGCGACTAAGTCAACACATTCTCCAGGAACGGTCTTCCCAAGAATATACAAAAGACTATATGTAAATATTGTGTACACTTTCTTGTTTCAATACATGTTGTTCTAAGTACATTTTGTGTTGTATTATTATTCCATGCATTAGTCAAGTTTCAACAATATATATATATATATATATATATATATATATATATATATATATATATACGTGTGTAGCCCAAATATGACAACAAACTCCATATATATATATATATATATATATATATATATATATATATATATATATATATATATATATATATGGATACTGTTGTCATATTTGTCATATATATATACACTGTAATAGTGTTGTCATATTCGTGCGTGTGTGTATGTGCCCCAAATATGACAACAGTACTCTATATATATATATATATATATATATATATATATATATATATATATATATATATATTTGTCATATTTGGGCTATACACACGCACGAATATTCAAATATTACTTCCATATGTATACATGACATATATATAACAACAGTATTATTTCATATATACATAAATATATATGACAACAGTACTCCATATATATATATATATATATATATATATATATATATATATATATATATATGGAGTAATTGTTGTCATATTTGGGCGGAAGCTGGTGCTATCCTCGCTCTAATGTCTCGATAGAGTTCAAAAAGTACCTTATTGACGCCAGGAATTATTTTCCACCTTACTACCTCCTCTCTCTCTCTCTCTCTCTCTCTCTCTCTCTCTCTCTCACACACACACACACACACACACACACACACACACAGGCTGGATGTGACGAACCTCCCGCAGCCCAATCGCCACTACCATGGAAAGTGCTCGGACGAAGTCCATTCTTTGGTTACACTAGGTCTAAATTTCATGGCCTAGACCCGCCATGCCACTTATATTGTAGCAAACCCCACCCATATTTCCTCCGTATTCCATCGGTGAGAAGTCAGTTTCACTCGAACAGATTCTTCTCGCAAACAACTGCCCTATGGAACCAAATTTTTTTCTCTGATCACGACAATCTTAACCTGTTCAAGTTTAGAGTTAACTGTAATGAAATGTGTATTTGCATCATTTTTTAATTGTCAGAAATATTTAGAGAGTGTAGTGCAGTTTTTGTATTTGATATTGCCTAATGACTTGATAGAAACGAAATTTCCAAGTATTTTCAGTGGAACCAAAATAAAATTTAACATCGTTACCGTAATGTATGCTTGCTCGGTATATAATATTATCAGTCATACACTAATCGTTTAAGGGACAGATTATACTTTTCGGCAATTGCATTTTTATTTAAAAGAAAAAAATAAACGTTCACATTGTTGGAAATATATTTATTTAATATCATGCTGTTATGTTGGGATATAGATTTATCGATGTTATTATCGCAGCTATAGCTGATCCTAGCATTATTTTTGTTAAGAATCTTTTTTAGTATTGGTTAAAGTGCTTATGAATTAATTTTAGGAAAATTCTTCCGATATTCGTTTGAACATTATGATTAAAAGATGGATTAAACCATATAATGTTACGTTTACGGTGCTTCTATTTATTTTTACCTCTGTTTTTTTCTAAATGCTTTAAATTTACTTTAAATTTAATTTAGTACAAAAGCCTTTATATATTTAATTTCAGTATTATCAAATATATTTCCTAACTGCTGGAGATAATCTTGCACTGATTGA